TATATGTCACATTTCAACAATTCAATTGTCTTCTTGATAGTTAGGAATTTGCCAATGCTTGGAAGATTTTTGTTTCTGGAAGCGCTTCTGATGGCGTCCTTGCAATAGTAGTCAATGGTGATATATCTTTTTAGGCTTCTCCATTTCTTTATTATTTTTTTTGTGGTGAGGGTGAGAGACAGAAACTATATTCTTCAGTCTGTTCTAGCTTATGGTTTCCCCTCATACCTGATGGAGCTCACTTTATTCTTATATCCTTCTCGTGACCCTTTAAAAAAAAATTATAATCATGCGCAAAATGTCAGCATTGACAAAACCCAACTATTATGTTAATAGGTTGTATTTTTACATTTCTCTAGGTCCCATGGGAGGCTGGTGTAATAACTTAATTCCGATCCAAATCCATTTTTTAACCGGGCTCGTCACTTCAAGTTCAAAAGACGTTTTTAACCATCTATATTCTGCAAGAGGTTTTTGATATGATTTTTGGTTGGACACCTTGATTTGTTATTTTTCCCTTCAAATACTTACAATTTGTATAATGTGATTGCCTTTTAAATTTTTGAAATAGTTTATTCAGTAGCTTTACAGGGGGTATTCTTTGTAGATGTTGTGTTTAGCGATCATTTTGCTCTTGAATTTTATTCACCTTTGCATGTTATGAAGCATTTATGAATTTCTTCTATAAACGTATGATATTAAGTCCTAGGGTCTTTGTGCAGATCTTACACCTGATATGCAACCCCTGGATTGGAATACAAGAATGAAAATAGCAGCTGGTATAGCCAATGGTTTGAATTACCTGCACCACAAGGCGAAACCACCGGTCATTTACAGGGACCTGAAATCATCTAATATATTGTTGGATGACGGATTTCTCCCTAAACTTTCTGATTTTGGACTTGCGAAGTTTGGTCCACATGAGGATAAGTCACATGTTAGTACTAGGGTCATGGGTACCTATGGATATTGTGCACCTGAATATGCCGCAACTGGACACCTTACGCTGAAGTCAGATGTTTACAGTTTTGGCATGGTCTTGTTGGAGATAATCTCTGGACTTACAGCATTAGATGAAACTCGTGTAAGGGGGAAGCATAAGCTTCTCGATTGGGTAAAATTTCAATGACTATACAATTGTTGATTGTGAGAAACTGCAAGTAATTTGAAAATTTTCTGATGGGATACTCAAACCTTATATCTGCTTGTTATGTACACTACTGAATTGATTTGACTGATTGAATATGTCAATCCAATTCTTCTCTCCTCTCTGTTTCTGTTTGTCTCCCTTTCGTTCTGTATCATTAGGTTGTGCAGAGCCAAAGGCTTCTTTAATATTATGTTCTGATGCATTTTCTTGAAATTATTTGATACTTATGTTGGTCTTTATTTTCATATCCGTTAACTTCTATAATCACCCTTTTATATTTGTAGGTACGTCCTATGTTGATCGATCCTAAGAACTTTTTGCAGTTGGCTGATAAAAAACTGAATGGACAATTTCCAAAATCCGTGTTCTGTAAGACCGTTGAGTTGGTGTTAATATGCGTAAGAGATAATGCCCCATCTCGGCCTACCATGACTGAAGTGGTAGGTGCTATGGATTATTTGACATCGAAAAAATATGACCCCTGTGCTGCTTGAAGTATGGACCAAGGACAGAAATGAGTCTACTTCAAAAGTTCAGTAGTTTGAGGACAATTAGCAGGAAACAAGTTTGATGACTTTAAGTAGTGATTGTCTTTTTGTATCTTTTTCATATTGGCGTTAGCTTGCAATTTTCATAATGATGATAACTGGCTTGGTCAGCGAAATAGAAATAGAAATAGAAATATACTGGAATAATGAAAATTGTCATTGAATTGTATACAAGTGAAATGGCACGTTTTTTCATATTTACATGCTTACAAATGTATCTGCTAGCTTGGCTTCATTTGCTCCGATCAACAGGTTCGACTCTAAAAGTGCCATTTAACTGCTTATTGTGCAAAGGGGCATTTTTAAGAATATCTAATTTTAAAGGCATGAGTTGAAAAGTGTCCACTCATTTGAATTTAGTGCCAACTTATCTATTATGCCCTTAATGAAAAGCTACATTTTGAAATGGTATTCTCGACATTTTAAATGTCGTTCTTGACATTTGATTTTTTTATCAATTTGTCACGAATTTTGAGAAGTGGCTTCCATGAGAAGTTACATTAAAATAATGTTTCTCGACATTTCATATGTCATTCTCGACATTTGAACACCGTTTCATTTGTTTAGAATGACATTTTGAAAATGACATTTCTCTATATTTAAAAATGAATAAAAAAATTATAACATTTATTGTGATTTGACATGTATACTTTTTGAAATAAATATGACAGGTTATGTGTCAAAATTTTATTGGCCAATAACAATATTGCAAAAATGTCCATTTTTTTGTCTTAGTGTGAAATTATAAATTATTAATAAAGGTATTTTAGTCTAAATTCTTCCAAATTAGACATTTTTGCAATAGTGGACATTTTTGGAAATGACTACGTAAAAATGGACATTTTGTGAAATTTCCTCTTGTGCAAATTGCTGATTTCCACATGGCGCAAGTATCTGATCTGAGTTTCAGAATGGAAAAATAACATAAAAATTGATAAACATACGCTTTTTTTTTTTTCTTTCTTTTGTCCGGCTTGGTCAAGCAAATAGCAATGTGAACCTTTCCACTCCCAACAAGAAGAAAAGCCATTTTTACTTTTAATGTTCTAGATTTCTTCCACTGTCATATTGAATTGTTTCCCAAACAGCAAAGGACTATCAACTTTGCCTATTAACCATACTGAATCAATTTCCGATGCTCTATTTGATTTGTTCATTCTAATAGGAATTCTTCAACTATGCTTCACAACCACACCGAACCGAATTTTGGTCTAGCTTTCTCTCTCGTAACATGCTCTAGTAGGATCTTACCAATTTTATGAGGAGAAGTTTCTTTGTCTGCACAAGAGATTCCCTAAATAGTCAACCTTTATTTTATCCTCAATTGGTGTCCGGTCTACTTGTTGTCAAATATTCTCATTGCTTATCTTATTCTTTCAAATATGACCACACATTTAACTTAACATCCTCATTCTGCTACGTTCATCATTTAGATACTTTTTTACTTTAATGACACATTATCTGTTACTGTAAAGCATAGGAGGTATGATAAACATCGGACAAAATTATTCTTTTCAGCCTTAAAGTCACTTTTTTTTTCTTATAAAAGAGTATCTTTCTAGTACTTTCTCCATCTCATCTAACCTTTCTCACACTCCTCAAGTTCTCCTTTCTTGTTAGTAATTGATAGTAAATACCTAATAGAGTAAGATAACATGATGCTCATGAGTGTCGGACTGTTTGATACTACATTTCTACATGTCATATATTTTGTTACCCTCGTAGTTCTAACACAATATGTCTTTTCTCTTCATCTAAACATTTCGACTTATCCATAAAATGCATTCTAGATTGTAGACAATTGACAGCTTAAAGTAGAAGTGTTCTCAACTCAAGGAAAAAAGGAAAAAGATAATAAAAAGAACTGTTAATTTCAAAAGTCAGATTCATAATATTGGACAAGTTACTATGACTGTTGCCCAATATTAAAGTACCATGAGAAGTTTATGGCTGAAGTTGAATTTGTATCAGACAACAGATATGGAGTCTGCTGGAGATAGTGCGCAGTTGGGGAATTTTGTGGAGTCTGGGGGATTTTGATATTCTTGCTGGCCTTAATCCATAACTTGATCAAGTGAAAGGTCAAGTATTGGGCAAGTATCCTCTTCCATCTTTAAAATAGGTCCATGCTCATGTAAAAGGAAAAAAATATAGGAGAAATATCATGTTGCAAAGTTCTGGTAGCATGGAAAATTCTAATGCAGCAAATAATTCTGCGCTAGCTGCTGCCACTGCCAGACGTAATTCAGCTCTGATCTTGGGGATGCCAAAAGCTAAAGGGAAGAAGACTAAGGAAAAATTGTGGCGTGACTATTGCAATAAACTTTGGCACACTAGGGATAAGTGCTAAAAACTTAATTCACATTTAGCCCCTAAAGGAGGGAAACCGAATGATGAATACCAAAAGTGGACAAGCCTATCAAGCTGCTTCTAATATTGGAGCCTCACAAGATGCACCATTTACTGGTTCTCCAAGGAAATATGCGTTGATCCCAAAGGTGATGCAAGAATTGAGATTTATGACGTTTTAAAATGCATTGTGGAAAAATCGATAGTTTCTTTTTTAGTTCCGAAAATGAAACGATCAATATGTAGAATCAAAACAAGTGATTGTTGAGATTCGTGTAGGAACATCCACTTTGAATTTTAAAGAGAAGGTTCAAAAACATATTTATTTTGACTCTAACGAAGAAATGCACTGGAGTACTGGTGTCTATCATCCACCTGAATTTACATATGGTAATGTTCACTATTACCAGTCTTTTTCATCTCCGATTACTCGATAATTTCCACAAGTAATAATTCCACTTTTTATGGGCTCAAAAATTCTTTCACCATCTTTCGAATAGGCCCTGAAAGGAGAAGAAAGGCTGGAATGCCAACAAGCGTCTATTATTGAATTCACCCAACCCGATAGTACCCATTTTGGGAACGTCCAGTGCCAAAGTCACTGAAATCAATTAACGAAATTGAAATTCTTTCTTTGGCTTGATTACCAATTAGAAGATTTAGCTTGTATGAATCGCTATTGGTTTGATACCAATAACAGCAATCGTTTCAGTATGTTAAGGATACAAATATGAAATATGTAATAAGATCACAACAATATGAAAGAAGATTAAAGTAAATAATAGAAGAGAGTTAAGGCAGAGAAACGATGATTTTTTTAATGACAATATGGAGAGAAAGAATACAACTCAACAATAATGCTTAAATAAAACAGGAAGAGTCTTATATTTATAGGCCATGAGAATAACCCCTAAAAGAGTCCTAAAAGGTAAGAAATTAGGTTAAAAATGCGTAAAACAAAAAACCCTCGCCGTGCTTAAAATGAACCATGTGACCGCATGGAGTTGAACCATGCGGTCGCAAGGAGTAAACTTTCAACCATTGAAAGTTTTCTGCATGCCGTGTTGCGGTGGCATGGAGTCGAGTCGGGAAAGATTTTGTTACCTTTTTCTCTTGGATCCACTTTGATTTCTTTCCAAGTCTGAGTCGAATACACCATCTTCAAGACTGCTAGACCTAATTTGAGTCACAAACCTAACAATATGTTGATATAGCAAAAACCATTACAATTGGGCTTAGCATGTAAGATATTGAAAGCTAGATAATCTTCTCAATCAGCCTGAATAACAAGTCCTTGCCCAAGGACTTAGCAATCCATCTTGTTCTTTAGCCAAACTGGTAATATACATGCCTTTAGTGCATGTAATTGTCATTCTTCTAACCCTTGAATCATGGATTCAGCTGACTTCGATCATTTGACTACTGATTCCAGGTTATTTCTACTTATTGCACTTGTTTTGGTAAAGAAAAGTTAAAATTGCTGATGGGACTTTCTCTTCTGTAGTTGGTCAAGGAACTATACCCGTTTAATCTAGTTTATGCCTAAATTCAGTTTTACATGTACTAAATGTTGGGAATTTACTTAAACATACGCATCGAAAATAAAAACAATTTCAATTCCAACCAAGATTCATCTTTGTATTTCGATTGGAATTGTGGTAAAAGTTATATCTTTTCTTGGATCCGCAAGCTTTTTTGCTTAATCTTTGTTCTAACAACTTGGATCTGTCTCCCACAATTGTTTAATTGTCCAGCCTCCAATGAATTCAACACAGAGAACAAATTGCAGTCACCAAGATTTTCTCTTCTTGTACTAGCAAGAAATATAAGATTCTCTACTGAATTGAAAACCCTAGTCACCTTTTTATACAAGCCCAAATAGACTTGACCTGGCCAGGTCCAATATTTAATTAATTCATTTAATTAAATTCGGTCTATGAATTAATTAATCCAATTAATTATTTCGGGCCTTTACATAACTAACTCAATTAATTAATTTATCCAACGATTCTTAAATTAATTAATTGACAAATTACAATATTCAAATTCTCTTTTGTGTGCGACTCATCAAGTTCCCGACCATAATGCCTAACGACGTGAAATATGATTTTGATCTAATCAAAATTGATAAATTAAAACACCCTTTTAATTTATCATCAATTTACACTCGCCGTCCCAAATTGACATCTAGCAATGTATCAGGGCAACATATGTGACGGAAAATGTTACGTGGTATGACAAAACCAAACTTGTTCGTTTACCAGGAAACTTTAATCTTTTCGTCAATATGATCCGATCAATTACGAGACATGGAAGTGCGTCAATTTCGATTGTCGATCATATTTTTCATTATACTATTGAGTCAGTATGAGTCGAAAACTCCTTTTCGACTTATGAGTATACTTGGCCAAGGATTTCGTTATCGACTTAATTGAACGAAATGCAGATCACAATCTCTTACTATCTAAGAGTGACGAATTCTCTATTGGTCATTCACAACTTTCATATGGTTCTTGACATACCCAAACGATGTCGTGTTAATGGCTTTTGATAGAACAACACTCAACACCGTCAAAACATGATTGTCCTCATACAAGGCACTATGATGATTTCAAGTTAAAGGGCCAATTTCATTACCGTAAGTTAGAGATTAACTACTAACACTTAAATAGTTATCTATATGGAACATCTTAGCGGATCTCCAATATTTCGTTCTATAACAAAATATCTACGCATTCATTTAAGTGTCATCATACTTTAGCTTGTGAGACAACTATTTACTTCACAAGTAAGAAATGCGACGCATGATGGTCTATCCGTAATAATAATATCCGTATTTCGTTATTAT